TTAGAAATATAGATATTAAATATTTCATAAATTCAAACGTCTGGCAAATTCAGGTATAAAAAAGAATATATTAAGTATTCAAAAAATGTTTATGAAAAATATTCATAAATATCTTTTGAATATTTATCAATCTTTTTCATATCTTCTTCCTGAAAATGTAAATATTTACAAAACATTCGATATTTTTCTAAAATATTTTATAAATATTTTAGATTTATAGAAAACATTTGAATTTATTAAATATTTAAATTTATTAAATATTTAATATCTTTATTTCTAAAATTTTTTATAAATATTGTGTGCTCTATGAGCATCTTGTGCTTATACATATCCAAATAAATAAAGAAATACAAAGTTCTTAGATATTTATAATTATGTACCTTTTATATCTTTTTTCCTGCATTTTCTCTCTTTCCCTGCTGTACTTTCCTCTGTTCATTTCCTGTGAAATAGCCTTTTGGTATTTTTTATCATATGAGTTCTATCTTTTTTCAACAATCCTTCTAATAGGCGCCATCTTTTGTATTTTACTTCCTTTTTCTCTCTATTCTTTTACAGCGTTATTTCCATTTTACAGCTCTTTCTGCTCTGAAAAAATTGTATGCTGTCTGGGATATAATATTGCATGTATATAAATATTATATATATCTAAAACAATATTGCATGTATATTACATTGTAATGTTACTATAATGTTCCATTGCAATGTTTCTGAGGACGGACATTTCGATGTTGTCGCAATCTTGCGAAAACGTCGCAGAAACATTTCGCAACTTCCATGCAATATTACAATGTTTCAGTGTAATGTCTTTACAATGTTCATGCAATATTTTTATGCTGTATTATGCGGTATTAACGTGAATGCAAACATAAAAATATATTTTAAAAAATGAGCACGATAATCAAGACTCTCTAAATTTCTTGGAATAAAACTTCCCAGACAGTATTAAAATATTTTAAAAATATTGTGTGTTGTCTGCCTTTACGAAAAAAATCCTCAAACTTACAAAATAACTCCCAATTTTGAATGTATTTTTAATAATTTCTGGTGCTTTCTGATCATTTCTGGTGTTTTACACTCAAAATTGAGAGTTATTTCGTAAGTCTGAAAGTTTTTTTGTAAGGGTGGGTTTATTCGAAACAAGTTGTTTGCTACAAGCGATAGTAAAAATCTGCCACTCGAAATAGAGTAATATTTCACTTTTTATAAGAGTGAATATTTCACTCCAATTACAGAGAATTCTTGCAATTAAATAGAAAGAAAAATAATCTTTATAATTCTATTGCGTTTGTGGTTGCTAGTAACTTTTAGTTATTAAAATCTCAATAAGGTGTGCTATTTAATTAATTTAATTTATATTATTCTTGGAAAAATTCATCACAACAGGACTTGAGAACTTTTAGCTTTGAGTCATTCGCCTTTGAGCACCTACTGAGCCACTGCTATTCACTGATAGGAGTGACTTTTATAATGATACATATGTGTTTTTGAATTACACTTTTACGAGTAAAAATTCACTCCAAACGAGTGAAAAGTCATTCTAAATCGAGTGTTTCGGTCACTCTGAGTGATAGTTCACTCCACAACACAGAGTGAAAATATTCACTCCACGATACAGAATGAAGGAATTTATTCTATAAGAGTGAGAAATCACTTTAACTCGAGTGACTCGGCTGCTACTTTATCTTTGGAGTGAGATTTTCATTCCAAGAAATTTAGACAGTAAAGCTAAAACTCCATATATACGGTGAGCTCCAGCAAAATGCTGCGGTGACCAATCAGTAACCAAGTGCATGACGGCGGTTGTCGCAGATCAACCTGCTGGCTTATGATTGGTCACCGCAGCATTTTGCCGAAACTCACCGCATATATGAAATTTTAGTTTAAGTAATCTTATATTATAATCTTCTACAAAAGCCACTAATAAGTTTTCAGCAAATTGACCAACCATAGTCGATTATTTTTGAAAATAGTCAAGTCCTGTGATTAGTCAATTTGCTTGCGGTTTATGACTAATAGCTTATTATAAAAAGCCCATAACGCATAAAACATTTTGTGGGAAATTGTAACATTGGTGTTATGTTACTTAGTATTTACTAGGTACATAGCTGCTTAAATGTTTTAACTGTATTCAGAAATTGTAATTTCTTTAAATATTTTTCTAAATATTTTATTTTTTCTTTCATTATGTTATAAAAGACAAATATATCTGTAAATAGACTATTCTTATAGAAAAATATGCATAACA